CTCCCGAAAAAGGTATTGGTTTGAAGAAGCAGAACTTCAAGATATGATCTACACGTTTATTCAAAACTCTTATTTGGTTCTGCTTAGAGCTCTGTGTAAACCTACTTATTGTGATTAATTAGCAGTGATTTGTGCGACACAGTCCTCTCTGGCCCAAAAGTCACTGTTGGTTTGACTGATTACTGGGGCCATAATCTAAAAAGTAAAAGGTTGGTAAAAAAATAAACATTGATTTGATGTCATTTACAATTACAATTAAATTAAATAGAGGCAGAATGATGACTTTCCATTCATGTGTTTGGCTACAGTTCTGGAGAATTCTAGAGACATTCTAGTTTCTTGTGGTTATGGGGGCTGAATTTTTACTTATGTATTTCTGTTTTATAAGTTGGCTAGTTGTGGGAACCAAACCAATTGTAATTTATTCAAATAATTATAGTTAAGCCAACCACGGCTTGGTTCAACATGAGAGAACTCTCTAAACCCAGATAGATGGCTCTTCAATCCTTCTTTAAAATTTCCAATGAAAGAAAGCAAAATGCTTGGGAGGCAGAGTGCCCCACTGTCAAAGAGGCCGTGCTGCTAGGAAATGCTTTGTAAGGCATATCCTTTTGTTGCTGTAGTGGCCTTTCAAGGAAGCTAATGATATTTTAAGAAATTGCAACAATTATAAAAGAAATGGATTAAAATAATCAAATAAGCAGCAATTAAATAAGCAGCCACGCTAATAGCATCAGGAAGATAATCAGCCTCTGTGTACTCAGGGATTTCTAGTGTTTGAATCAACCCACAGCCTTTGCCAGTTGCTGAAAGGCAAACAGCAAAGAAACAGAATAAAATGATAGAGGAATTCTAGAGTGAAGGGCTACTGTCTGTCTTTCCATCCATCCATCCATCCATCCATCCATCCATCCATCCATCCATCCATCCATCCCAAAGCCTCACTTTTTCCATTTTGTACTCTGCTAAGAGGGAGGGTATTTGCTGCTATTACTGATAAATAGGAAGAAGCACACTGGATGTGATGCATCACTTGAGGACCATTGGCACTGATAAATCACCATCAGTTAATTGCAAAGGACAGCTTTACTTGGAGCAATTTACATCACAACAACAACAGAAACAATAATAATAATACCTTGACATAATTGTTGGGCTTGCATGCTCTGAGGAAGATGAGAGCTGTGCCGAGGTTTAATTATACTGGACAGGTGTCTTCTAATATGTTAAAATGCACAGGAAAAGCTCAGGGTGCTGACAATGTCCAGTCTGGTAAAGTTGAGCAACATAATAGCATATTGGAGCAATGCCATGCTCCTCATTTTTTGCAATTCAAATTTAATTGGATAAATGAAAAATTATTTTAGAAATTATTTGACAAGAGAAGAGAATTATCATAAAATTATTATAATTGTGATGTTTCCATTTCCACTACAAGCTGGCCTTTTGCATACGCCAGGTGCTTCAATGAAATTCTAACATATTTAAACCTTTCACTCAGCTTTTTGTGATTGGGATTTTAGGCAGTCAGGGAAATCCAAAGTGATGGAGGTTAGCAATAGCAGTAGCACTTAGACTTATGTACCACTCCATAATGCTTTACAGCACTCTGAGCGGTTTAAAAATGTCAGCATATTGCCCCCAACAATCTTGGTCCTCATTTTACCAACCTCAGAAGGATGGAAGGCTGAGTCAGCCATGAGCTGGTCAGGTTTGAACTCCTGAATGGTTGGCAAAGTTAGCCTGCAATATTGCTGCATTCTAACTACTGCACCACCAATTATCTGAAAGGAATAGGATTTAGTGGTGTGCAGCCCTTTGGGACGGAAGGCAAATGTTGTCTTTTTCTGTGATTTGTGCTGCAGCTTGGAAGGCCTGTTGTGCAATCCCAAGATAATACTATATGCAGCTGCATTAATAGGTTGCAAACAGGTGCTACATGGGTGACCCTGCATCCTGCATACTGTGAAACACATTTTGGTGTTTCTAAACATAGTCACAATACATCAGTAGCCTCCACCAGAAACACCCTCAGCGAGTGATGGGGGACATGAATTATGTGCAAAGAAAAAAGCAGTGGCACTGATTCAATGCATCTCCTTTTTCATAAGTTTAACTTGCTGAATGCTGTGAAGCTTTGCCTCCAAAACCAAGAAAATGAAAAGAGGAGAAGGTAGAAAAACAGAACTTGAGAAATGGCAAGGCATATTTCACCAAATGAAATAAAAACTAGGGGTTTTAAAACTAGGCTGACAAGTCCTGTGCTTGAATCTTAGAGTTTTTATTTTTGCTGGATAGGCCTGGAACAAGTCCTATTGTGCTAGCTTAAACTGTTTCACTGCCTATTTGCCAAAAGAAACTGGAAGCAATTTCTGGAATTTCTTTATATGATGGATCCTTAGCAGGATGAATGCTAGTAATGAAATCTGATTACAAATCATCCTTTCCAGTGGTGGGAAGAGGAAGCAGTTATTTTCTAAACCTTAGAAGGTGATTTTTAAAAAAATCAAATTCTCCTTTGTATAGGTGAAGCATTTTCCAGGATTAATCATGGAACTACACAACATTCTCTGCAAAACACAGCATTTTGCATAAGCTACTAGAAATAAGTTGTGAAAATAGAGCTACTGAAAACAGTAGGTAATAGCAATTTTAACATGCAATTACTTCTCTCCATGAAGAAAACTAGCATCTAAAGATTTATCTTTCTGATTAGCCTAAAAGTCTACTTTTTGATTGCAGGGAATTGTCCTATATATTTTGCTTAGACATGTTGCAAAATGGTGCCAGTAGTTTCTTGTTGATCAGAGGACAGCAATTTCCATTGCATTTTACAGTAGTCTAATATAGTGATATATAGCAGGCTGTGTAATGTATACAATTGTGCTGTGTCCTTTAATATCTGATCGGTGTTCATTCACTGGTCCAGCTACTGCCTCCTTATGACTCAGATATGACACTATTGTGCACTATTGGCAACGCTATTGAGTGCACTATTGGCAAGACTATTGACCAATATGGTGATCAGGATACTACATATGGAAGACCCACTGGATAAACAATCTGAATTGCATGCTGTGCATGCACTCAAATGGGGCATTTCCTAATAATACTGTGTTACCACAAGGATGGAAACAGAACACACATTCCTTCCCCCTTTCTCTTTTTGTGGCTCATAGAGTCCTTAGGTTACACAAGACTAGGAAATTCTCTTATTGCAGCCCATGGTGTCTCTTGTCTTGGCATGACTGATTAAAAACTACACAAGAGAAACAGTGTAATCCCTACAGTAGACATAGCTTTGTTGAAAGGAAAATCCATCTAGTTCAGTTCTGATCTGGGAGAAAGGCACTGGAAATAAAATGGAGGCTGGAGGCTGATTGGAAAGAAATGTTCCATTTATTGATGAAAAAAACCCACCAAACACATGTGATTTTGGAATAGGTCACAGCTGACAAAATGGAGTTGAGAGTGGGTGGGTTTTCATACCATTTTTGGGGACTTTGTTTGAGCTTCCTGTTCCTGTGCAAGAACATGCCCTTTAATATTCTATTGGCTGTTGTCAGATTTCTATGGGGTCATGGCTAGCTCTATAGGCAAAACAGGAAATGCAAATCCAGGTGCCTGTTTGAGCTAATTCTGTCAACCTTTTGTTTGTTGCTTATCTGAGTTTCCTCTTGACCCAGTCTTTCTGAATGGATTGCCAAATCTGCAATTTCAAAAAGCTGGCCTCCTCAGTTTTTGCTTGGGGCCGGGAAACTGGGGCTGGTTTTTGTCTCCCTTAAGATTTTTTCATTTCTCCTTTAGGGGAAATATTTCTTTTTTAATATTTCCCAAAATATTTCATTCTTCTAGGGTGGGGGCTTCCCACAGCTGTTTCTTTCTATCTTTATTTATATATCTATATCACATATATCTCTATATTCATTTATTTTATATCTTATCTTTATTGTTTTTATAAATAACTCAAGATGGCAATCATATCTAGTATTCCTTCCTCTTTTTATTTTCATCATAACAACCACATTGTGAGGAGAAAGAGTGACTGGCCCAAGGTCATCCAGCTGATTTTTCATGTCTAACGCAGGAGTAGAATTATACGTATCATTTCTATCTTTATATCACTATCTGTCATCTATCTGCCTGCCTTTCTGTATACCTATTATCTATCTATCTATCTATCTATCTATCTATCTATCTATCTATCTATC